GAGTAGACTGATAACTATGGAAAAGTGCTTCTTTAGGAATTCTGGCAAAGGTGAAAAGAACTAGTCCAAAAAGTCAGGAGACTAACCTTTCCCTGCACCTCCAAATTCAGATTTATTAGATGACAGTGTAAACTTATCCACCAGCATACTTCAGGCCAAAAATGAAGGACAGGTATCTCAAGCAGAGAAGAGAGGTTAGCTCTGGGAGTGTTTCCTCCAGATGTTGACTACTGAGGCCATGAATAGGGGTTTGACACGTGGCTCACGTAACTCCACATGTCCTAGCACCTTCACTTGCCTCTTACTAGAACAAGTTGCAATAATGACTTTCCTCATATGGAACCCTGTTTACAGAAACCTGAGTGAATGGGTCTTACACAAACCATCATTATTGCCTGCTAGTAACCTTGCAAAGCAAGGAACTGTAAGCTACTGCTCTCTTTTTGCATAACTTTGAGATAATTAGTGCCTGGCATCTGTAATGGAAATACAATGCATAACATAAGAGTTTCTAAAATGACACTATATTCACTGTATGCTTAATTATTTGAAGAACATAAAGGCAGCTAAATGAACCTGCCAAGGAGCCTTTGTTAATCAAAAGTTCTGCCTTTGTAAGTGTTTTTTTCTTTTCTTTTTAAAACATGTAAATGGCTTCAGCCATAAAAAGAAAAAAATAAGGAACCCCAAAGACTGTTTGTACGTAACCTTTAAGACTGCTGCTACTTATTTTGCAGGAAAGATTATTTTGACTGGTTGCTATAGAAGCAAGTTACAGAGCAGCCAAACGTAACTGAAAGTTCCTTTTCAGTGCTACAGCCGCGGAGAGTGACTAGAAAGATGCTTTATGTAATCCTGGGAGGTTTCACCTCACATTGTAGAGCTGGCTTCCAGACTTCATGCGATTCTCTGCTGCAGATGACATTCTTATATCCTACTGTCATTTAGAAGTTTATGATCCATGCTTTAGATTATTTGGTTCATGCAGATTTGTAGGAAAGCAAGGTTACTGGTTTCCAGCTCAGCTGCCACTATAGTTTAAAACTAGAACTGTGTGTGATTATGCATTATTACTATAATATACTTTATATACAAGGAATAAATTAGAACCATAGGACATGGTATTTATCCTTGGAGACTGGACACAGCTGTGAAAAGGCGACTGAATCTATGGCATAAATCTCCCAGACCTCTTAGCCCAGGATTTTATCTGGGAAGCTTGGGATCAGGATCCATGTCATTTAGTTGGCAGGAGAATATTTGAATGGAGGGCTTCCAGTGTGTTTCATTGAACCTGGCATTGTAGCTTTTTTCTGTCAGCCTTGAATTGGCTACCAATGGCATATGGTTCTGTTTCACTGTAATTGCTGTTTGATCTGTCAATGCTAGAAATGCTAGTCTAGCAGCCACATAACTTTGGATAAACTGATCCAAATGCTTAAGTGCTTATTTGGGCAAAGTTCACTGTTCATTTGCCTGAGATAAAAGCTAAATAAAAGCAAAAACAGGGCTTTAGGAAGTGGCTTCTTAAAAGCTGGAAGACAGTTTGGAGACAACTGAAGGAAGATCAATTCACAAGAGTCCAGTACAGATGGCATTTTTTAATCTTTATTTTTATATTTTCTTATATATTATCTACAAGCACAAGCTTTCATTTTTTTTTTAATGTAAAAATGCATACAGATCGTTATATATATAAAAAACAAATAGCCTTGTAGCAAACTGCCAAATGCAACCATCCCCAGGTTTGGGGACAACTTGTCTGGATCCAAGTGCAAACTTAAGGGCTGGCCTTCACTTCCATCTTTATTTGCACTGCTCTCCCAGATACAGAAATTGTTAAAGTTCTAGGGAAGTTGTGACTCCTGATCCAGATCTTGCAGCATGGGCATGACTAACTCTTCATCAATTGAAGATAAATATTTAAAAACTTCATAAATGGCAATCAACTTGTTGTAGAAGACAAGCGTATAGCTCACCTTTCTTCTCCCTTTGTGTTTCTTTTTGTTCTCAACCCTTCCCACAGAAATGAAAGGGGTAGAAGAAATTAATGCTAGTGTCATATATGCACATTTAAATTGCAGTAGTAAAAACAGAATTTAAACTGTTCATGTCTGCTGTGAAAAGGCTACTGTATTTGACTTCACGTTACATTTGGCCTTTTCAATTCTTCAGCACATTTTGGCTCAATTTGCGCATTGTAGAAAATTTTTGTAGTATAGCTGATAATATGTTGCAACATTGTGATCAGCAGTAAATCAGATTGCATTTAATACTATGCATTATGTATCAACAGATTATAATATACTATATTGTAAATGGCTTGACAAGAAGCCTGTTACATAGAGGGGAAAAAAAATGTTCAATTAAGTAAAGAAATCTGTGTTCGTATAGGAGGAAGGGTCACAGAATAGAAGCCTCCTTTTTGATTGAATATTTATCATATTTGGCAGTTTCCGCATTCAGTCTTTGTAAAGGAATGTTACTATTTTTATTAGAGGTTCTTTATGTAATAAGTCATGTTTTCACAGTGGAACATTTTCTTTCACTGGGATTTTATGACTTCCCCATACCAGACAGCGTAGCAAAGATGTAACTTGCTGAGATTCTTTTGGAAGATATTAATGCCATAACTTAGCTTCTCTTTCAGCTCTCCCAGTATGAATGTGATTAACTTATTTTCTGTTGTAGTTCATATATTACCTTTCTGTATTTCAAATGCAGCTCTACTCTGAAACCCAAGACAGGTTTTTAGAGGGGAAGGAAAAAAAAATCATATTGTCCTAGAGAGGGATAAATGAGTTTCAATTGGTTGCTTAGATTACCAACATAAGGATTTTTCTTGTGAACTGTGCTGCCATGCAATTTACAGGTAAGGAATTGTTTAGATTGGTGCAACATCGCTGATTTCAAAGATAACACAATGACTTAGTGCCTGAAAAAATGCACACTCTCACTGCTGATGTTATAGCATACATGATTGCAAGTTCAGACCTTCAGCTAATGACTACCGGTGCAGGAATAAACACTAGCTTATTCTTTTACACTTGTATTGATTCTGCAGTACTTACAGGACTAAAAAGGCAAAATCTGACTTTTTACAGAAGTTAGAGATGACCAATAGTTCAGGAATAGCTGTCAAAGAGATGGTGACATTTCATCTGTTGCCCGCCCAGAAGGACATAGTGAGGTTTCCACTGTAGCTGATATGCAGTGGCATACTGGAATATGCGAGGCAAAATACAGACACAAATTCCAAAAGAGTGAATGAATTTTTGTCGTCTAGACTGGGGCAAACAGAGAAAATAAATAACAGCCCATAACCCAAGTATAATGTGCACTTGAAAGTGATGTTCTTATCGTTCATAGGGTTAGAGATGTGGGTGAGAGAAAGTTTTAAAAAATTTACTTTGGCGAAGTACCGTTAAGTCAACCCTGTTGAAAAGGCCTAACTTAGGACTTTTCCCTGTTACAGGGATATACAGGCTTGATTAATAATGTTTTGTACCACCATTTATGTGGCTTACTATAGCTGGATATAATGCTATCCAATCAAATGTCCTCACTCCCCCACACCTGTGGCAAATTGTGATAGAATTTGGCATTCTTTCCTCACAGAGGCAAATAACCATACAGAGTACAAAGCAGTGGAGAATAGTTGTGGGTGATTGCTGTGAAAAGGATGCTCTTCAAAGGAGAATACCACTCATATTCCCATTTGTCATCCCACCCTTTGGCTGTGCTTCTATGTGATGCCAAACCAAGATGCCTAAAGGACTGCAACGTAACTGGTAAGAGACATAAAGTGAAAGTCTCCCCAAACCTAGTTCTTTATCTCTTGCTTCTACTGGAAGAAGGTCTCAATACTACCGTGAACAAGAGGCACAAAGAAAGAGGAAGAGGAGGAAAAAAAAAAAAAAAAAAGAAAAAAGCTTATTTTCCCAGGCACTAAAACCTGATAAAATGCACTTTCATTTGAATGTACCAAATAAACTTACAAAGCTCTGTGCTAGTTTAAACCACAAATTGCTTCAAACAACATCTGGAAGTTTAAACAGCTGGAAGTTATGGCCTTTTGATACAGTAAAGGCCATTTACATCTGATTTACACTGACGGCTTTAAATACTTGCCTTTCCCATGGCTTCAGTTCTTTTTAAGTAGAAGACAGAGTAGGAGAAACTACTTGAAGTAAGACCAAAAGCAAAAATGTAAACAAAAGCTATAAACTATCCACAACTAAATCAATAGTAATATGGTTATCGTTTTAGTTTGATTCCCCAGTACATACAGACCAATTTTCCCAAGTAGAGCACTGCACTTGGAGGGAAAAATGCTCGAATGCCACTGGACCAGCTGATTATTTCTTGATGAGTTCTGCGGTTTTGGAGGATATGAAAAAGCAACTGAACTTCAGACCTGCTTAAATGTGTGTCCTCCTGTCTAAACACATCCTGGGGTCTGAAAAAGGCCTTTCCTACTTTTTTTTTTTGCATGCCATGCATGCCTTGGCACTCATAGATTTGACAAAATAACATGAGCAAGAACATTTTGGAGTAAAAGCACACCATGCACCAGTTTAGAGCTGGTGAAAGGTGGCAGATGAACGTTGTGGTACAACACAGCAGCCTCTAAGTGTGTTCAGTCCTTGGCAATATCAGTTATGATGGTGGCTGAACTGAACACCGAGTCTTACTCCTCCATGGCTACTGTGGAACCTGATGGCTGGAAATGATGTTCAGGCACTACTAACTTGGAGGGAATTGGAGCCAGCTTTGTAGAAGCAGAAGACGTTCTGTCAATGCCAATCCCCAAATCATCTAGTCCTTTGGAGTTTTTTTGTTTTGTTTCGTTGATAATGTTAGCCAAAAGCAGTGTGGCTAAATACATTTTGAAACAGGAAGAAAGTCTGACCCATGTTACTCAGAAAGGAAGGTTTGTTTTTTCTGTTTTTTTTTTTTTTTTAATTGCAAAGTTTGGATCATTCTTTCTTAAAATGTGTTCTGCTTGCTTCCTCCCTGCCCCAAGCTTATATGCTCTATAATGCTTCTCTACCTTAATACAACTCTTTTAGCTGCTGATTTTGGTGAGCATCTTGTTAATAGCCTGCTTGACATGGGTGGTGGAGCTCCGTCTCCGAGTCTTGCCCTGCACCATCTTTCGACGCCGTACCTCACGACACAGCTCATAGAAGGCCTCCATAATGTTGCCCTCTCCTGTGCAAGCAGAGCACTCATAAAATGCACACGCTAGTTCCGTGGCCAGCTTTTCGCCTTCCTCTGTGCTGACCTGCCGGGAGTGATCCAGATCTGCTTTGTTCCCCACCAAGATGAGAGTGACATTCTTGGGTTTTTTAACTTCATCTAACAAGTTCTTAAGTGGCAGCACTTCCTCAAAGCTGCCTCTGTCTGTGATGTCGTAGACCAGCACGAAGCCTTCGCCCCATCGAACATGTCCTTCTTTTTGGATGGCATCCTCCTGTTGTGAAAAGACAGACACCAACTTTTAGTATACACTAGTTGGTAAAAGTCACTATTTGGTAAAGGGCTACAGCCCTTTGGATAGATGTTTGCCCCTGATGCCTTCAAAGCCATATTCATCTCCTTGACTATGTACTCTATGCACCTTTTTTTATTGTGTAGCATTCTGTGAAGGTGCCAAGGGCTGCCCGTGGCCAAGGTGGTAGCAGGCAATCAGAAGCATGTCTCTTGAACTAGGGCTGTTCAGTGAAAACCTGCCAGGTTTTCAAAGCAAGGAGGGCTGGCTGAGGCAAAACTTTGGTGGTATCATTTACTAGGTAACGTTTATGTGGACACATGTAGGTCACTCTGGGAAGCTCTGTTGAGCTTCATTAATTGACTGTATAAATAGACTTTTAATAGCATAATAATAGCATTTTTTGGGATGGACCAGAATAAAGGAATGAGAAAAACATCATTTCAATGTTAATGCAAATTCTGCCTTTGTTCTTCTCATGTTTGAAAACTTTGAATAGGGCTCCTTATACAAGGGTACAGTGGGCCTGTTGTCAACCAGATGGTGGGGAAAAGAGGCTGTCTGCTCAGACTCCAGAAGTGGGGCATGCCCAGCCACCATTCCCATTCTCTACTGTCTATCCCAGTCAAGATATTGGATAGTAATATACATAGCCACGCACCTGACCAGCTGTGTCTAGAATCTCCATGGAAACCACTTCATCATCAATGGTAGCTTGGTGACGATACGTAGACTCTAAATTAAGAACATATTTTGCAAAGTTTATTAAGAGGTTGATCTCTCTTATCTATGGATACCCCAGCATAAGATGTGATATAACATATAGTTTCACTAAATTCCACTTCTTGGAGCTCTTCCAGCCAGTCTCAAGTCCTACTTTCTACAAATGAGAATGCTTTACTTCTCCCTGTATGGCAGAGAAGTTCTTTCTTTGAAATGTCTTTAACCTACAGCAGACTGTAGTTGTGGACACTGTACTTTGCAACTCAGAAGGAAACCCTCCTGCAGTAAAGACATCTGCAAGGCTGCAGGCAATACTTCATGCTCACTCATAGGATTATGAAAAAATATTCAAAAGCTGCTTCTCTCAAAAGATCCAGCTCATAAGCTTGTCCTGGCTTAGTTTGAAATATGACTAGACTGAAACTGTTATGGTTGAAGATCAGGGACCTATTCAGGCTAACCACTAAGCAGAGGCCTTATACTGTGATAAAATTACAGAAGAACTAGCTATTTTAGGAATGTCCTTTTGAAACATGCTGAAATCACGTTCCCCTATGTTAGCAAGGGCTCAACCACTGATTTCTCATTTCATGATTTATAAGAATTGTTAGTGGGTATTAAGCCTTTATACTATGTTACAGGGAAAAGGAACCTGTTTACTATGTCTTGGGTTCTGGATCTAGGCAACTTATCAGAAACCTAATGCTAAAGGGAGTTGTTTTATCTTAATGAGTTGATACATTACATTTGATAGCATTTGACCTAAAATTCAGAAAAGCATCTGTGCTAACATTCAAATTTATTACTGTTGCTAGCTCACAGATGTTTTATATCAAAAGGCAAATACATATGTTGTAAAAATGTGGCCAATGACTATGAATGTTTTGCATTGTTAGAGATATGATTCTTTTATTCAATGCAAATCTCCTAAATGGGAATGAAGGGTAAGTTAAAGGAAACATATTTCTTGAATCAGAACGTCTGAAAGGGTTTGTATTTTCTTGAAAGTCTTTTCTTTAAATCTACTTAAGAACATCACCTCTTATAATCATGAATGTTCGAATGATGTAAGTACTACAAGAACTTTAAATAGCACAGCTGCACCTAGTCGGGGCAAATGGTCAATTTAATTAAAAACTACTCTTGCTGCAGAGTTTTGGACTGTATAGGCCAGATTTGTATAAGCAGTATGGTCCTGTTCTGTTCAGTATAATGAGGCTACTGAAGGAATTGTGGTCCTACCTCTGTCATCCTGAGGATATATCTACAGAATAGAGTAAGATAAATATAAGTTTTTGGGTTTTTTTTCCCCTTCTCTTCTTTATGTCCTCCTAGCTGTAATGATTCCTTCAAGGGAATGCAGAAAAGCAGAAGCTCTAGTGGTGTAGAAGTTGCAATGATGCCTCATTAGCAAAGTAATTTCAGTGCTGGTTGTTAGGCTGGGACTCCTTGTGCAGTACTCTATGTCTAAGACTGCTTGGAAATTTATGCCTCATTTCTCTGGGGGAGTGTAGTGTGAAGGGACAGTTCTTTAAATGAATAATGTGATGTTGGCTCCTTAGTCATTTAGGCCTTGCAGTACTTGCGTACTTTTAACTATCTCTCCCTACTAAACAAGTAGCTGTAGAGAATGAGTCCTGCAACTTGGTGTACCCCTTATCCAACTGCGCTTCTGCTGGATCCATTAAATGCCTTTAAGGAGCCAGGGTATGGTAAGCTGTTCTCTGTGAAACTGAGAGTAAATCTCAAGCAATAGACTCAGCCCTGCTGCAGAAAAGCATAGAGATTTTTCAAGGAACTTGAGTTATCAAGAAAGGATTTTATGCTGTAAATATAATTCCCTTTGCTTGATCAACTTAGGGTGGAATTTGGTCCCGGATGAATAGCACTGACTTAGTGTAAATATATCTTAGTAATACTGTGTCTGTTCTTGTGCTTTGGAATGTGCAGTAGCTAGGTGAATTTTAATGATGGGTGTAAAAACAGCAGCATCTGTCTGCATTCTTGGTGTAATTGCAGATATGGCTTCTCCTTTAAGGGAACAGAAATATCCTAATAATCATCTAGTGAATTACAGGCCCTAAAGTCTTGAGTTCCAGTTAGGTGGTGTTGAATGGCCACTTTATGTATGCAATGCCTTGCTTTGGCATTTGTTAGTATCATTTTTCCTGTGCCCATTTGTAGGTTTTGTTGTTGTTTGTTTGTTTGTTCTGACATTCAATCAGAGTGAAATTAGGTGACTGTGGAAACTTGCTGGATCCTTGACTAAACAATCTACAGTGCAGGAATCTTTCTCCCCTAAGGACCTTTGGCTTCTATTAGAGCTGATGAAATAAAATAGGTATTGGATTTGGTTTGTCTGGCCTCTTTTTCCTGGGATGAATCACACAACAAGAACAACTGGAACTTAGGTTCATCAGATCAATTTTAGACTTCTAAATGTCTTGTCCTTGCATCATCATGGTCAAGTAGAAAGAGCTGGAGGTAACACTGTGTGCTAGTGATCTTCCTAATAGAAGATCCTGAGATTATGGACACCTTTCTGAGCTTTAAAATATCACTTTCTTTTATAAAACAATGCCAACATATTATATGTTAAATTATATGGCTAAAATATCAAAGATGGAAAGTAAATGTCACAGTTGTTTTGCTATATGTAGAACTGAACTAGCTGTAAAGTCGAACTAGTGACATACTGTTGACAGATAAAGTGTGCCCGACACCATTAGGAATGGGAAAATACAGTATTTGTATTCAGCTGTTCACCTTATTTCAATATGAGTAAGTAGATCTGAACCATTCTTGTTGGCCTTAGGGTGTAATAGGCTTCTGTTTGTATTCACAGTAACTGGATAAAAGTAGTGCTGAGTGTGTTGCTTTGACAGCTGACATGGTTGTTTTCATGGTCCTACTTTGATTATAATGCTGCAATTCCTTAGTAGTTCTGTTCTGCAAAGCACTGCTGCTTCCTGCATCTCTCTCTCTCTTTTTTTTTTTTTTTTTTTTTTTAATAAAAGCTTATTCAGGAAACATGAATATAACAAAAATGTTATATTCATGCAGTAATAGCTGTTTTGTTTTTCAATTTGAAATATATTGCCATAATAACTCGTTATGGAAAATCAATAAAATTTCCAAATTGATACATCTGAAAAAAGAGGCCTTTGACAAAATCTATTCTTTTTGAGCAGTATGATTTTTTAAAAATGCAATAAAAATTTCTAAATTTTTATAGAAAATTTTGTACTTTTGTGAACCACAGAGTATCCATGAATATGTTCAACTTAATCACCTCACTTTGCATATGTAGTATAATTTTGGCCTATAGGACTTAAATGGTCATTTATCAAACCTATTTGTACATGACTATACCAATCTAATAAAGAAATTTGTTTCAGATTTTTTCTTTCTGGGAAAAAAAATCTGTTATCTGAAAAGTAATTTCTAGATCTTGGTCTGTATTCACATTGATGTAATGATCTGACTCCAATACCTCTTTACTTTGTAAAGCTAATTTATAGCAGTGGTATGGCATCGTCCTGGGAGGAAATACTTATATAGTAATGGTTTATTGATTTTAGGAAAACACAGTAGGAGCAGATAAATCATTTAAGATGAAGAAATAAAATATACCATTTTACCCTTAAATTTATGCAACAGCTTGGTGCTTCATAACATCACCCATAGAGTCACAGAATGGTTGAGGATGGAAGGGGCCTCTAGAGATCATCCAGTCCAACCCCCCTGCTCCAGCAGGGACACCCAGAACATGGGGCACAGGGCTCCAGAGGAGACTCCACAACCTCCCTGGGCAGCCTGTGCCAGAGATCTGTTACTCTCTCAGTAAAGAAGCTCTTTTCTTCTTCTTTTAAATGCATAAAGATGCAAATTTCACTTTCATCAGAATTTAGTTCATATTAATCAAAACAAAAGCTTAACCAATAACTTAGATCTCATGGTGGCTGTTGGACAGTTGGAACTCAAAACTTGCTAGAGATCCAGAAGTAGTAGTTTTGGTGTAATAATTATACCTGAGTTTTCAAGCCAAAACCTTTGCTACAGCTAATAGGGCTGAACTTGTAAATTAGTCTAGTTCAGTGGTGATATAGGAGTATATTTAAAAATATAAAATTTCCCTTATTCCTGATATAAGTTCTCAGTTCCTCTGCCCTGCCACATATTCCCTGCTCACGTAGACTCTCACTATCTCTGACTTCCATCAGAAAGGCTATTGCATTTGAGAAAAATCATTTTTACAGCCTTTCAGGAAAACAATGTACCTCCATTTTACTAAACCTAGTGTTGCCTCACCTTGTGCTCCAGAACCTTGCCTCGGTCTGCCTTTGTGAAATCCACCCCCCTCTGCATTTTCCTGTTGCTCCAGGGCTATTGTCACCTGCTGTACAATCCAGGTAACCAGAATAAACATTCCTTACTGGAGATCTGGAGATGGTCAGAACCCACTTGGACACAATCCTGTGCCACATACTCTAAGTGACCCTGCATGTGCAGTGGGATTGGATTAGATGATCCCTTCCAACTTCAACGATTCTATGATGCTACTCCTTAGGTCCTTCCTGCTGCCTCATTTCCTCCACTATTAGCTCTACAAAAAGCTCAGCTGCCTGTATTTTTATTCCTTGCATCTGGCTGTTACTTCCTCCATCCATTATTTACCTTATAGGAGGCTTTTTATTCTGCATTTACAGGAATTACAGCTCAGCCCTTGTCACTTAGGACATATTTTTAATGCTAGTGCACTTCCTTCCATGTTGAGCATAACCATGTTTCCTTAGTATTTGATGCTGCGAATCTAAAAATATGCAAAACTCGGTTATTCATTATATATTAATAACATTGTCAGGTAATGATATGCATTGCTAATACTAACATTTCCATATGTAATATAATAAAAGTTACCAAAAGAAAATCACAAAGAGCACTGGTTTTAGAGGAGCCTACGTGACTCTGACAGCTCTAATAATTGGACTTGGCTTTCCAATGTCTTAAGT